CCCTCCCGCGCTAGCCTAAGGGCCACCTTAGCAAAGCGCATCCCAGGCTGCATAGCCGCACTACCCTACCCAACCATACCACACATAAACATGACACTACCCCCGGGGTTTACACAGACGAGCCGGCGAAGCAAGAAGAGCGCCAGAAGAAAGGGCCCTAGCCGGCGGGGCCCAGCCAGGACAAAAGGAGGTCCCACAAAGCGCCTACACCGGCCGCATTTGCGGTCGGGGTAGACGACGGATGGGGCCCACCTACGAAGGCTGTCCAGGCCTACACGAGATGAGGCAGGATAAAGAGGGATAATCCCCCTCGATCCCAAATCATTGAGGCCAATTTCTAGCCATAGAATAATGGCGACCACTATCCGCTGCAGCGTCTCCAAACTCAAAATACTGAGGCCGTGGCGATAGCGGTGAGATCGCTACGGCATGGAGACATCGCGGTGTCTTATTAACCCCGCCCCGACGCCCCATACTTGACATAGACGGCGGAGACCAGCCAGAGCAAGAGGAGGTTCCGCAAAGTGCCTACACAGGCCATGTAGACGATGGACGGGCCCCACTTACACGAGGCTGCCCAGGCCTACAGAGATAAGGCAGGAAAAAGAGGGAAAGTCCCCCTCGGTCCAAAATTATCAAGGTCACGCTTAACGTCAAAAATAACGGTGTGAGGATCACGTGGTTGCAACAGATCCATGATCATACGAGTATGTGAATCCAGGGAGGGCTTTCGTTTTGGCAAATATAGTACCTATTAGCAACTAATATCAGTTCAGAGTAGCTCCAAGTTGCTATTAGCTACTAATCCTCGCCATTATTCCATGGCTAAAAATTGGCCTCAATGATTTGGGATCGAGGGGGATTATCCCTCTTTATCCTGCCTCATCTCGTGTAGGCCTGGACAGCCTTCGTAGGTGGGCCCCATCCGTCGTCTACCCCGACCGCAAATNTTGACAATATTTTTGTTAGGCGATTGTCGTGTCCATGGCCTACTACTTGCCTTCTTATCGAAAGCACTTTACCTATAATATTTTTTACCGTAGCTCTATACGATCACTAGTTTCTGAGATACAGCCGCTTACCTCGCTTATTTGCCCACCCTGTACAAAAAATAATGAGAATGGTTCAAAGATATTTGAGTATACATATAGCCTAAATGGCCGTCTGATATGTTTATAAAGCCAGCAACAAATAAATCATTATGTAAAAACAAATGTAATAAGTTACAGCTCTCCCTTAAAGACTTTTCCAAGGAACAGAATAGAGTAGAATGCTATGAAAAAATAAAAAAAACCTCATTTTATAAACACGGAGTGTAAAAATTATCTTTTTGAGAAAAAGAAAATTTATGTGTAAAATAAAAGTTCGAAAGGATCGATGGTTATCGCACAACCATATTTGAAATTTTAAAAAATTATTCCCCAAACCAAGAGAGAGATAAATGTAATCCTACCCACCTCCTGTATCAACAGGTCGTGCTTGAGCACCTTCCGCGACTTCATTATCCTCACTATGGCAGCCTGCAAGTATATCTTCCTGTCCTCCTTCACCGAGTTCATCATCTGCTCCGTCTCGAGGGGCACGGTCGCCGTGATCCTGAACCTGATGCGCTTGTTCGAGTAGTCCGTGTTAAGCCTCAGCGTCGTCTCCGGCGTCAATTCCTGGAGAAAACCAGAATTCACCTGTTTCCCACCTCAGAACAGTAATAAGCCGCCCCTTCCTCCGAACAAGTCGCGTAATTTTGATGGTGTTTCGATTTCATTAACAATCCGACAGGTTTTTGTACTTGTAACGTGGTTTACTGTGGAGTTGAAGATATCATAACATATACAAGGCGATTCAGTCATAATGTCATTAATTTTAACCACGTACTCGGAAGGCCTAATAGACGGAAAGTCGAAAAATATTTTTTTTCTCGATTTTTACCCCCTTAACTCCCGCTAATACGGCGCCCACACATTTTCTGACCAAGACGTTCGAACATTGAAGAGAAACAGCGTTACCACATAAATGAGAATAAAATATTCAGATCTACCACCGTTAAACGCATCTTCCTTATAGATTTCATGCAAATTTGGAGATCACGTCATACATATGGAGGGGAGATGAGTAGAAAGTATGCAGAATGCAGTACAACCCGCAGTTTATTTCGGATTGTTTCAAGTGTAGGTCGTAATGGTTAATTTTTTCGTAATGGCTTTTTTTAGCGGAATAATATTGAGAAAAATTAAATATATTGTCGAAACATCGGTAAATTTCGCGAAGGAAAAGAGTTTTTCTTTTAATTAACCTAAACCGACAATTTTAAAGAAAACTATTAAACTAGGTACGTATCTTGATTTAATACAAGGCGTTAAATAAAATAAAACCATTNTTATATCGAGAAAGGTATCCAGAGCGCCTCATTCCTGATCATAGAACCTTTACAAGATTAGAGGCGACCTTGCGACAAAATGAAGACGCATTTTCTGTTCGGAAAAATCAAATAATTGACCGAAGAGTAAGAAACAATGTTAATACCGCTAGACCGTTACAGTATTTCGAACAAAATCCACGAAATTCTATACGCCAGGCTAGCTGGGAATTGAATTTGGATAAATTAGCCGTTCAACGAATTTTAAAGATCAATGGGTATCAGACTATAAAATTTACAATAGGCCCATTCAGTGATATATAATTTTAAACTTTTTCTTTCATTTTCTGATAGTATTTAACCACCTAAATATATCTTAAAAAAATTAGGTCAATAGGATTAATAATAAGTGATATATTTAATTCTGAATTTGTAAGACCTTTAAAAAGGTCAACACTGCGAGAGAACAGGTAATGACGTCACGATACCGGCCACTCGCCAGCAGTCGGAGAGATAAATCTCATTTTATACGGCTTCTAAGAAAGAGACGACAGTCTGTTTTCGGCTGCCTCGTCTAAACTGATGTGTAGATATTTGCTATACTTTTACCTATATTATATATCTATATTTTTAAGTGTATAAATAGAAAGTGTATAAGAGATATACATCAAGTCTTGTTGAAATGCATTTTTCACACAACATATTTATTATAAACATAGAATGTCTTGGAATATCTAAATACATTTTCGGATTTTTCTCAATGACGTAATTTTGCCTTCCATTTTGTGTACAAATGTACCCAACGTACTAGACTCGGTACTTGTGGATGTATGCGACGACGTGTATGTGCGAGCAACTCAGAACCACCCTCGTTTTTCTTTGGTTGCCCGTCTAGGGGGTTATAAAATATTATTATTTAAATAAATTGCTAATAGGTGCCTCTCGCAACGTATTTCGAAATTTTGTGGACGGGAACGTTTAGATGGGGTAGAATTTTTTTTTTCGACATACATTTGAAAATTCTGCTCTAAATGTTTAAATAATAATATTTATAACCCCTTAGACGGGCAAACAAAGAAAAACGAGGGTGGTTCTGAGTTGCTTATAGGTCCCTCTCGCCGACATATTTCGAATTTTTTGTGAACACGAACATTTAGATAAGGTAGAATTTTTTTCCGGCATAAAGTTGAAAATTGTGTTCTAAATGTCCAAATAATAATATTTTACAACCCACTAGACGTGCAACCAAAGAAAAACGAAGGTGGTATTGAGTTGAATCCTCGGTTTCGACCCATTTAGACATAAAAACAATGATTAACAAAACTGCCAAGCGAACCACACACCGTATGTATTAACACATAATGGGATGAGAGCGAGCGGAGTGTTCTGCCAGTCGCCCGTACCGGTATTATGACGTCAGGCAATGGTTGCTCAACGTTTTTCCGCGCTCTGTTTTCATTAATTTATTTCACACATTTGTCGTTGAAACAAAAAATTGATTTTTGGCATACTAACTAATTAAAGGGTAAACTTTTGAAATATGCAATAAAAAAATTTTACTGAATAGGCCTATTTGGAGTATTTGCGTCACATTGAAAACAGATTTAATTTTATAGCTCAAATTGTAGTAAATGTAGAAACTGTTGATCAGAACCTTTTTCGGCACGTTCCTTGGACTGACGAAAGTTGGTTTGCCAAACAGGCGCAACGAACACTACTGGTCCATAGAAAATCCCCAGATTAATGGGCTTAATGCACCTATTCAGTGGTCCAGAACGTCACCAGATCTAACACCCCTCGACTTATGGGGGGTTTTAAAGAATAAGGTTTACAAAACACCTTCGCGAGATATTAATCATTTGAGTGAAAAAAATCACAAATGCTTGTAATGAGTTAAACGGCGAAATGTTAATAAACGCAGTCTACAAAGAAGTCAGGCGAAGATTGGATATGTGTCTTGAAATGAGAGGAGGTCATATAGAGAATAGATTGTAATATGTATGCAGTATGAAAACATTTGTCTCATTTTTTAAGTTTAGTTGTTGTTATCATCACCTTTTGTTTTAACTGTATTAAAGAATTATCGAGTTTAATTCTTCTATTTATTCTTAATGACATTTATGCATTTTAAATAATGAACGTTCAATTATTTTCCGACTTCTTTACCCTTCTAATGTGATTTTTAGGTGGCATTTCTTTTGAGATTCCTTAGTTCGATATTGCTTATAACTTTTAAGCGGGAGTAATACAGAAAAAATTATTTAATAAATGTTTAGGTATTAGAAAAAAGAGAGCTATAATTGGTCGTTTCTGTCAAATCCTAAAGATAATGAATTGACGTTTGACAATTAACCTGACATTTCGAAGGGAGCTTTTATTAATAAACTCACAACTTTCAAGAAACCATTAAATTCGAAAGTGAAATACGTATTTTGAATTTACGCAGTTACGCTTTAACGAAAACAAAACTCTTGGCACACAATAATCTTCAAAACAACGACTTCTTGTTTACCGCAACGCTAGTCTCGAAAATCAAGTGAACTTTGACTTTATAAACTAAATGCATCAGCCTAAATAATTTTTTGTGCATAATAATCACTTGTATTGAATAATGAACAATTTTATTTCTGCTATTTTCTGTGATATGTATGTTTGGTCTCTTGGTACCTTTAAGTGTTTTTAACGATATCTTTGGTAAACTAGTGTATTCAATACAAATACGGCAGTTTAAATGAACGGTGAAGTGTGTAAGTATGTTAAAAAATATATTATCTGCGCAATGAAAGTGCACACGCGGCAAAAATTTTATACGGGGATAAAGGGATAAAATAAATATTCCAGCTGGATGTTGTACACCTCCTAAATTCCTAAAATAAATAAATAAAAAAACAATAAACAACCTCACTGTCGGCCAGGAGCAGCTTGGAGTCGATGAGATTGATGGCGTGTTCCTGGAACTGCTGCGAGTTGAGCTGGAGCGTCTCCCTGATCTCCTTGCTGGTCAGCGAGTCGCTGTTCTCGAACAGCAGCAGGATGGCCATCTGAAAGGCCTGCACCGTCACGACGTACGGTTTCTCCAGGTAACAAAACTTCAGCTCCGCCTGACTGAAGTGGTGGAGCCACATCAGCTTGCGCCCATTGAACCGGTTGTGGTAGAACTTCTCGAACTACGAAAAAACTGTATCAGCACATGTCCTGCCTCGCATAAAAAATATACCCACCATCTGGACGCTCTTCACCAGCTGCTGGGGTAGGGCGAACGGCGTGACCATCACCTGATCCAGCGGCCAAGCACTGGCCTGCAGGACGTATACGCTGAAGTTGATGCCGAGATCGACGTTGTCCTGCTTGAGGAAGACGCCGAACTTGTCGTTCAGGTCCGAGCTGACCGATACGTCCGTGAACATCTTGTGTAGTTTGCTCGCAAACACACAGCCGCCCGCCTGCCAAGGAAACCGGCCGAAAAATAGAAAGTGTTGAGAAAATTTCCAGGGAACAATACAAGTATTACATTTTCTAAAGGAACGACCTAGCCGCATAATAATAATCAACATTACCTTCCGCCGCACTGCTACTTGAATCTTATCAAGTAAAATATATCGGACACTTTGGGACTGACGGATCGTAGCTCACCTGTTTCAGTCTGTTGATCATCGCCTCTTCGGCATCCATGCTCTGCGTCTGCTGGTGGATAAGGCGTTTCGCCAGCATGCGCGAGTAGAACTTCTGGAAAACGTCCTTGTCGTCGATGTACTCGAAGATCGTGATGCTGTCCGCCAGCTTTTCGTCCACCTGAAAACGGCAGGCACGACTGCAAAGGGCTCGTTCATTGTAAAACAAGGGGGAGAAATTTCATAAAGAACGAGACAGAGTTGAAGTTGAGGTGTTGAAACCGAAACACGCTCAATATGCACAAAATTAATACGAAGTCTCTTCACTGGAATACCTCAAATGGTCAAACCTCAATGGCTGGAGGTCGATAGGCGGGTGCTAAAGGTCAAACATTGAGAGCCAAAAGTCAATCGATCGAGGACCAAAGGTCAATGGCTAGGGTCCACGGCATTTGGTACTACGGTCACTGACCAACGGAGTCTAAGAACAACAACCCCATGATGGCAAAGGTCAACGACTAAGGGATCGTAGGTCAATGACCAAGGAGTTAAAGGACAAGTCAATAACCAAGGCTCAGTCAATGATCCGGGAGACAAAGATCAATGACCAGGGGATAAGACTGATGACCAGCGAGACAAAGATTTATGAGCAGAGGAGCAAAGTTAATGACCGCGGAAAAAGGTAATGGCTGGGTGCCAAAGGTCAACGAGCGAAGAGTCTACGGACAATGATCCCATGATGTCGAATGTCAACGACTAAGAGATCGTAGGTCAATGACCAAGGAGTCAAACGAAGGATAATGAGGGGGCAGTTGATGGCAAAGGGGACAAAGTCAACAACCAAGGTTCAATCAATGGCCAGGGAGACAAAGATCAAAGACCAGGGGATAAGACTGATGACCAGGGAGACAAAGATTTATGAGCAGAGGAGCAAAGTTAATGACCGCGGAAAAAGGTAATGGCTGGGTGCCAAAGGTCAACGAGCGGAGAGTCTACGGACAATGATCCCATGATGTCGAATGTCAACGACTAAGAGATCGTAGGTCAATGACCAAGGAGTTAAAGAACACTGAGGGGGCAGTTGATAGCAAAGGGGACAAATTCATTAACCAAGGTTCAGGTAATGACCAGGGAGACAAAGATCAATGACCAGGGGATAAGACTGATGACCAGCGAGACAAAGATTTATGAGCAGAGGAGCAAAGTTAATGACCGCGGAAAAAGGTAATGGCTGGGTGCCAAAGGTCAACGAGCGAAGAGTCTACGGACAATGATCCCATGATGTCGAATGTCAACGACTAAGAGATCGTAGGTCAATGACCAATGAGTTAAAGAACAATGAGGGGGCAGTTGATAGCAAAGGGGACAAAGTCAATAACCAAGGTTCAGTCAATGATCCGGGAGGCAAAGATCAATGACCAGGGGATAAGACTGATGACCAGGGAGACAAAGATTTATGAGCAGAGGAGCAAAGTTAATGACCGCGGAAAAGGCTAATGGCTGAATGTCAAAGGTCAACGAGCGGAGCGTCAAAGGACAATGACCAGAAGCCAAAGGTCAATAAC